CTGTGCACTTTATGCAGTGTCGGGTTCATCTTTTCCAGGATGATGGACATGTTCCGTAGTGTGGTTCTGGATTGGGGTGATACTGATGATGGTTAAAGTGTGAGCCCCTGGGGCAGGAAATAGATCGAGATGTTTTGTAACTGTTTCATGTTGTAATGTTGTATTGGTTGGGACCACTATGTATTAAAGCAATGACGCATTTCTAAGACTATATGTGTATTATCTTTCGGGGAGCCATTACTCTTCCTACATTATTTTATGAGTGGACCCCACATGATTAAGCTTAACATTTATACATCACACACTATCAGCTTTGGAAGAATCTCTCCTACTCACGCAACATCTCTCTATAAACTTCTTATATATATATATATATTTTAAGCCTCAAATTTCTTTTCCATTTTCTGGCTAATAGGTAGGGTTTTCGGGCTCAGTTCCTTAACAAAAAATGTCCCTCTCATTGTCATCTATCACATAGTTAAAGGACTTAATTTTCGGAGTAGCGGTAATTATTTTACGAATTTTTGAAAATTTTAGATTTAAGGCTTCGGAAGAGATTTTGGGCCGCTTTGATTCGAATCCAGGAGCCGCGCCTTTAGAGCAGTTTGCTCTCCTCATCGTTGGCTACGTTTCCACGGAATAATTTTTCGTTCCGCCGCCGTTGATCGGCATTAACTGCGTTGACTTTTTCGGCCGGGGATGCATTTTGGCTACTTTTGAGGTAAGCCATTACATTTTGACTTTAGTTGCTTTCGTTTACTTGAATTCTTGCTAAGTGTGCTTAAAAATGATAAATTTTGGAATTTTGAATGATGATTATGTGTTTACATATTTATGTGGTAAAACATGTTCTAGATGATGTTAATTGTGTATATATATTTGCTTGGTTGCAAAGGTGTTTAAAGAACATGTCTTACGTTGAAATATTTTTTTTAAGGTTATGTGTATATACATGATGATGATGTTGATGAGTATGTATGGCTAAATTGATTAAATGCAAGCATGTGTATGTCAATTTCATTCATGCATAATTCCATTCGTGGCATGGGCATGGTTCGGGAAAAGTGAAGTTGAAATGATTCTTTTTAAATAAATGCATTTGGAAAAGATTGTGAGAAAAGGTTTTGTAAATGGAACCGGGTTTCGCAAGCCCGGGGCTAATTCGACCTAGAGGGAGCGCGGCCTGGTGTAAGGCGTGAAAAAGTTGATACTACGCCAGAAACTGTTGTTGGATTTGGAACTGGGGATAGCTATCAATCTCACCTCGGTAAAGTCGGTGAGCGGTTTTCGGTGTGCGTTGTGTTAAAACGGACTTTAATCAGAAAAGCGTTGCATTTCATGGCATTTTGACACCTATGATTATGACTCATTATGTGATACTAATCTTTTAAATTGAATGATGTGGACTGTGATTTTGATAATTCCATGTGTGATTTTGATCTTCATTGTTATTTTAGGCATTACCTACTGAATTGTTAAGCTCACACCTTATCTTAATATTTTCAGGAAATCAGAGAAGTATGGACATATGACTTATATTCACGAACTTAGGCGACACTAGAAATCTTTATAATGTTATAAGGCTGTATGTACGGCTATGGCGACCTCGTTTATGCATTTAAATTCCTTGTAATCACGTAAATAAAATGTGTATATTTTATGGCCTTGTATTTCCAATTATGTTTCTTGGACATGTATAAATGAAATTTGAAATATGCACGCTACGGATGGGATGCGCGTGAGCTACTTTAAATACTTATTTTTAATGATCATGATTATGGGACTTTATATCATAACTGTCGTGAGTTGGGAGAGGTTTTACATTGTGCTTTGGCTCACAAAAGAGCTCGGTTGGTTACAGGACCAGAGAGGTTGCAGACTGCTAAATTTGCAGCTTTCAGGGCTGTCGGCTGTTGGCTAGGCTAGTCAGCAGACCGAAAGTGCATTTTTCATGTCATTATATCGTTTCGGCTGGTTGACTAACTCAGTCAGCCAACCGACCCAGCAGTTTCAGTCGGCCAACATAAGGCTGTCAATCGATCGGCGCTGCCATTCTACCTTCATTTGTGTTCCTTCTGTGATGTTAGTAGTTCAGTGTTTTATGACCCTTGGGATGATGTGTATATAGTGTATTAACGTTGGAAATGACTTTTTACCCTTAGTTGACCTCGGGTTGAGGTAAGGGACTGGTTAGCGATTTAGACCCTCATGTTCGGGTCGTTACAAAAACTTTATGCAAAAATTCAAATGTCATAGTTCTGCTATATGTGGCATCACTGTTAGTTAAACAATACATTTTTGTTTAGTTTCAACATAAATGTAACCAAATGAGTGTGATAGACTTGATACATGGTTAAATTTTCTTCACTTATTCTCTCTTTATGTGTGTGTGTGTGTGTGTGTGTGTGTGTGTGTGTGTATGAGATTGAGATGATATATATATATGTATATGTGTAATCTTTGTAGTGGTGAAAATGTTAGTCTGGTATATTTAAAATAGTTTGAAGATTAAATAGATAATTTAACATTTCTATGGGTCAATTGATAAGTCAATTCATAAGTCAAAGGGTAATAAGGTATTTTTACCTTTTGTCAACGGTAGTTGGGGTGATTGTTCAATTTTGCAAATTTGGGGATGTTATCGTCCAAACCGTGTCTAAGTTGTGCAATTTACCCTATGTCACACAATGCGGGAGCGGGAGCGGGAGTGTAAAAATGGCAAAGTCTAAAATTAGTTGAGAGCGGGAGCGTCTTGAGAGCGCATGTATATAATACATTTTATGTTATATATATATATATATATATATATATATATATATATATATATATATATATAATTTTTTTTTATTTTAAATTCAACTAATGTTAGAACTTATAAAATGCCCATATAAAAGGTCCAGTCCCACCCATCTATCCGAGCCCAACGCCATAACAATTTCAGTACTCTGGAAAAAAATAAAACTTAGCCCATTACCATTAAGTATAACCCTACTCTTTTTAAAAGACCCAAGCTCATGTTCTATTAAGTATAACCCTACTCCTTTTGCATTTGCATCATTTAGACCAGCAGCTAAGTTGCTAACGGCGGAGCTCTGTATGCCAAGAAGTTATCTCGATGGGCAAAATCACAATCTACAGCAGCATCACAAAAAAATCACTATCCATTGAAGGAGATCTCATCGGAAGATTAGGCTTCATCTTTGGAGATAGAAGTGACTATTGGTAGTGCTTTTTTATTTCATCTTCAGATATGCAAACACACATATATATGCATATCTCTCTTAGTCTTAATCTTCTCTCTTTTTCTTTACAAAAGAAAATCCGAACGACCATCCGCGCCATGTTTTCCAGTGAGTCAACAGGTATTTAGGCAAAAGATCGAATTCTAAAAGTGAGTTCATGAATTCGAAAATTGAGTTCGCGAACTCAAGCTCTCAAAACGTCGATCCGCGTTCGGAGCTCTGGAGCGGAAGTCATCCATGCGAATCATGTGACTTAGAATTTACCCTTATTATTATTATTATTATTCTTTAATAAGAAACTCACTTATCTACATATCATTTAAACCCTTAAGCTTTTACTTTGAAATACATAAATAATTTGATAACTACACTAATTAGGCTATAATTTTATTATGACTCAAACTAAAATTTAAATTTCCATCAAAATCAAGGAACAATAATCAAAAGATGGGTTTTTTTATATCTTAAAAGAAGAAGAGAAAATAATACAAAAGGGACAAGACAAGAGAAAAGAACAGATGAACAACTTCACAATATTTCATCACCGTGTCAGTAGAGAGGAAATAGAGGGATAGGAAGGAAAGGATGGGGCTTACTCAGAAACCTTTTAGTCTCCATTTTTCTTATTTAGTCTCCTCTTTGGAGGAACCAAGCCATGGGAGATGTTTAGTAAAAAATTATTCTCCCCCAAGACACCATTGTGTTAAGTTAAGACGAACTATGTGATAATTTCTTATAATCTATAGTGAAAAAAAAACCACAGGCCTTGAACTACACAGAGGGTTCCAGTTTCAGAACTTAGTTGTAAAGACGTTCTTTATAATACAGAAAGCACAGAGCGAAGAAAAAAAAAAAAAAAAAGGGTAATATGGAGTAGTAGCTGAACAATATCAGCCGTAGTGCCAACGAGATTGTACCACTGTATAAAGAAAGCCTAGTGCTTTTTCAGGCCTTGAAATAATTATGAATCGGAAAATGATTTAATTTCAAAAATAAGAATACAAGTGTGAAGATGTAAATCTACAAATAATTTAAAACAGATCAACATATTGCTTCATTTTGTAAGAATAAAAATACACACATTCAAGAAAAAAAAAAAAAAAAAAAGAACAGATCGATTTCAACCACTACGATCTCTTCTCGAGAATTAACTCTCATTATGCTAAAAATAGGCCTTAGACTTAAAATCACAAGAAACATAAATATTGTTGTAATAACTACTATTTTCCTTTTAAGAAAATTAATGTAGAGTGACAATGGACTACCACCAAAGTATTTGTTTAGTTTTTTTATGCAAGGAGATAGAGAGTGTCAAAATTGCACAGCATGTACGAAAGGGACAACCCAACAACACTACTTATCCTTGTCCATAGACCTTAGCATTCACATTCTTCCTTGTATCGAAATTTCTACCAATATTAAAAGGTTAGTAGCACACGAACTAGAAAAACTGTGTCCTATTTGTCCCTGTTTATTTCTACCAATCATAAATCATCGAATAGTGTTTTCATTTGTCCGAAAAGCTTCAAATTTAGCAAGTTTGCCAGAATGAAATGCCTCCAATTTTAACCTTTGACAAAGGTTCACAGCAATCCAACATAGAATCATCAAACCATCTCCATGAACCTGTAAGACAAATGGGAATGGAAAATCATAATGCAAATAGAAAAATGCTGCAACTGTGAAAAATTATATTCTTACACCACCAGATCCTAACTTGGGTGGTATCTCTTCAAGGCTGAGGGCTTCAAGTCACACTTGGAACACAAAGTGTGCGAGTTGCTTACCTATTTAAATGAAAAATGATTTTTCAAATACTTTATTACACATGATATACAAGTTATAACAACTTCTCATCATTTTTCCAACATACAACATCACAACAGTTAAAAGAGGGGCCTGTCCTCTATTTTAAACCCAGACATTGTAGCATTACATCTTTAATTAAATATTACAAAGCACAAATTGCCATCTAATGTTACATGGGCAGCCCTCCACAAAATCTTCATATTATCATTAGTTCAACCCCTCGAGGTAATTTTGATTGCAGTCCCATAGCACACATTTTCGCCGCTAGTCGATTCTCATCTTCCACATTCTCATTTTCAGCTCCTATCAAATACGGTGGGCGTGTATCAATATTTATCTTCTCTAGCGAGACAAAATTCTCAAATAAGTACATGGCGAGCTCAACATCAACCTCACAGCCAGTAAATCCAACCAATTCTACCACCTTGGGACATTTGAGCAGACGTTTCTCAGCCCTTCCTTGTACCACCTTCCCTTGCAAAGAGTAGCGGCCAGGACAATCAATATTCCCATAAAAAACCTGCCACACCAATGGTCCGATTATTAATTCAATTTTGTTAGAACAATGAAATTGACTTTTGATTCCAAACAATGAAAATGGAATGATGATCAAACTGGTTAAAGCTAAGACCTAAATCAATGCACTTAATCTATTAGCCACAAACAAAATGAATCAAAAGTATTAGTCTACTGAAAGTTAACATCTTCTTTTAAGTAGCCTAGTCCACAAAGGACTGTCATCTTATGTATTAATACCTCTAACATCGGTTCCATCTAAGAGCTGATGTATAACTTATTGCCTCTATAATAGCATCTAGTTCATACATCACACATTGGTAATCATTAATTCACACGTATGAGGCAAAGAAATAAAGAATTTTTTCACAAACTTTCCTTGAAGGAGAGAGATGCAGATTAACATTGAACATCAAAATAATAGAAATTGGAAGGCAATGTAGGAATATATTGTCTTCTCATCAAATTTTAAAATATATATATACACACACACACACACACACACACATATATAAATATATTAAAAAACACCTCCAATGGCCGATGCTAAGCCTAAGCTACAAAATCAATGAAAACAAACTAGATGCACAGTGCACCACTGTTCTCAAATTCTTTTGATATTAGGTAAATTTATGTAAGATATGAATCTTATCTATAGGTCTCAGAAATTTTGTAAAGCAAATCATACATATCTAGAGGGAAAAAAGAAAAAGAGAGTGATGATGTAGTATGAATGCCATTACAAGTTAAAATTACTTAGTAATCACCTAAAATAACATAAAACATAAGATTCCAGGATAGAATATGATGCACATATTGTAAACCAGAAGGTAAGAGCACTAACCTCGAGACAAAATCTATACAAACAAGGAGCTGCCTCTATGAGAGAAATGCAAGGAAGGAAGCTCCTGATACGGTATGGATACACCTTCAATGTCAAATGCTTTAGATTCCTTAATTCAGGAAATTTGGGGAAGTTATCAAATACCTGAAGAGTCCAAATAACGAAATGTGTCAGAAAACCTTGAAGAATAAGAGAAGGCACAAAAGAGAGGTAAGTTAGATACTAACCTCGTAATCCAACTTCAATACAAGTGTTTGCAGCTGAGAGGTATAGCTTGAAAACTGGGAAAATTTCATAAACTTGCAAAACTGACCCCCCAGGTTTAGTTTAGAAAGATGGCATGCACTCTTGAAACACAAGTTTATTTGGTGACCAAAATATTCAAGTGACACCAGACTTTTCGCAGAAATCTCAATGTCTTCCAAAAACCAACAGTACGCTATTTTCAAATGCTTGAGCGATTGACCATAAACTTTAACATTGACTAGACAAGCCGAGTTATCAACAGATACTTCTTCAAGAAATGGACAGCTTGCTAAAAAACATTCAAGGCATTCTGCAGTCACATCCACATACGTGAAACGGATTGCAGTTAGTGATTCAAGTCTCGAAAAATCCAGGGACCGCATAGATGATAAATTGTAATGCCCTTCCGGAATATTACTATGTAATCGTTTAAGATTCAACTCAAGCCTTTGAACTCTCTTCTCCATTGCAAAGTGAACCCAATTATCAATATCAGATGTAGAACTAGAATCCAAATCAAAGTGAATTCTGAATTCATCCAGGGTTGCACCCTTGTGTGAGTTCAAGACCCGATTCACCCAACTTATATAGTTAGCCCTCTCCACCCCTAATATTTTCCAATTTCCTTTCCTTCAAAGTTTCCGCAATAACTTCAAAGCCTCAAAATTAAAAGTACCAGTTGTATATGTCCACAACTCTTTCCATCTACTTGAGACTACACTAGTTCTTGCCGCCTCTTTCATTGGCAAGCAAGAGAGGATGCAAATAAGAATTTCATCCGGCAACTGACTGATCCGATCTTCAGAGTGATTACTCCTCCCTTTACACTGATTATTGCAAACCAAATAACATAGTGAGGATAATTAGTATAAATTAATAAAATTGAATTGACCACAAACATGAGAAATTAGGTGATAACAAATAAGGAGAAAACAACTCCTCTCTTTACACTGATTATTGCAAACCACATAACATAGTGAGGACAGTCAGTATAAATTAATAAAATTGAATTGAACACAGACATGATAAATTAGGTAAAACGAATAAGGAGAAAACAACCACGCAAACACACAATAATTCATCACACATAATAATTTAGCGGAGAAATTGACGATTAAGAAAAAAGAAAGCTTTATGATTATTATTATATGGAAAAGATTCAAAAAAAATTTCAAATTGCTTAAAGGGAAAAAAATATTTACCTTCCTAAGTGCAAATTTGGAGTTCAGTCGTCTTTGTTTCATTGTGTAACCAAAAACCCTTTAGCCAAGTCTTCAACTTCGTAAAAACTTTGAACACCCACTGAGGAATTGTTCAAAAAATTACTATCAATCTACAATGAGAATATATGACACAGAAAGTATGTGTGTGTGTGTGTGTGTGTGTGTGTGTGTGTGTATATTACTAAGCAGATCTTGTCACCTGAGGCGATAGCGGAGGCTGCGCGGAGTGTCGAAGCAGATTGTTGTGATCGTAATGACTAGAAGAAATATTTCCAAATCCTTCGGCACGAAGGAACATATAGAATTTGGACGATGGAATGATGGTAAATATACACCAATCTGTTTCACGCGCTTAGATAAAAAATAAATAAAAATTAACCAGCCCAACGTGAGTGGGCTTAGCCCATCAGTTTTGCAACCGACCTATTGATAGAAAGAGGTCGTAAAACGGCACATGGGGGGTCAGAAGCAAGTGGAGTCAAGGGCGGGTCAAACTCACATTCCATTGAGACATTGATTAGTCTTATAAATTATAAATTAAAGCCTAGCTCTAAGAAAAATTGAGATAAGACCCCCTAAGTTTAATAAAAAGAATCCCTAAGTTTTTTATTTTTATGTTAGATATCATTATTAGGGTAAATTGCAACACTGTTTGGACGATACTCTTAAGTTTACAAAATTAAACAATCACCCCAACTATCTTTGACAGAAGATAAAAATACCTTATTGCTCATTGACTTATGAATGACTTATCAATTGACACATTGAAATGTTGATTTACCTATTTAATTTTTTTAACTATTTTTAATATGTCACACTAACATATAAATATAATGTGCTGATTGAATTGGATCAAATCGAATCGTATTCGTATATATATAAATTATTTGCTCACCCCTAATAGTTTCTAAAGCAAATTAGAATCCAATTAATTTCAATTATTTAATGTCCTGCGAAGGGACAATTAATTTCAAATTTTCAATTCGCTATTTGTCTTTTCATTCAAGGAGGACAAAATTGAATGTAAAAAAGATTATTTTATGAGTATATATGAGTATTATTTAGAATAAATTATAGTCATATGGGTGGGCTTGGCTTCAGTTAGTACGTCCTATAGTTTGGGCCTTGGCTGGCTAGTATTGTATAGGCTTGAGTTCAAATCATGTCAGGCTTTCATAATTGTACAGTAATTATTAAGTGCCCTGTCCTTCCCAATGTTCACCCCTAAATGAGGCGTATTATACAGGGATGGCAACGGGGGCGTGATGAGTATTAAAAAGTGCGTATTTAAACCCTTTAAGCTTAGGCATTCTAGTACCTTTATCTATCTTACTTTACCGTTTTAGATTGATCTCGTATTATTTTCATTTTCAGCCACTTATCCCAAAAATAAGCTAACTCAGCCAAATAAGAGCTTAATTGAAGCAATTCTGAGATTAAACAAAGAAAGGAGCAAAGTGGAGGAAGAAAGAAGCAAAACAGCAAGTTCGATCGATCCAAAGTCAAGGTTCGATCGATCGAACAATGATCGATCTCAGCACTTCAAGATAGATTCAAGCCTTGACCAAAAAGTATAAAGTTCCAAAAGTTCGATCGATCCAACACCATCCTTCGATCGATCGAACACTTTTGTCCTTATTCAAATGATTGATCATATCCATAACTGTCGACCACTAACCACCTTTTGTCCTTTTCCCAAAAATATCTCCCAAAATATCTCGGATTTGTCTTTTTCCAAAAAGCTCAGCCAGTTGGATCTATCCAGCCTCAGTTTGATCGATCTCAGCCAGTTCGATCGATCCAAGTCCAAGGTTCGATCGATCGAACTTCCTCCGAGTGCAAAAAGTTAAAATTCTAGCTCATTGAAAGTTGTCCTTTATCCAATCATTGGAGAATATTGTGTGCACGACCCTAGCTCATTTTGGGTGTCATTTTGACCTACCTATATAAGGATAAGGATTGCTTTTTCAAAAAGAGAGAAAAAAATTAGACATTCATATAATCTCTTGGAGAGGAAGCTTGGAGGAGGAGGAGGCTAGAGACACCATTGGAGATCTTCATCAACAAGGAGCAAACCTCTTCCATGGAATTAGCCCTTGAGGGTTGGAGTATCATCACCATGAGTGGCTAGACATCCTCTTGGGGCTAGAGTTAGCCCCAAGCATGCTTTCTATATCTTAATCTTGTGTATTACTGAGGGATTAGTGTTGTAATTGATGTTTTGACACTTTGATATATATGGATCTTGTTTATTCAATGATTTATGTGGTTTAATGCTTCCAATTGGTCATTTCATTCTATCTATATGTCTATGTATGCTAGAATAGATGTTCATGTGCTTATCTCTAGATTTTGTGTTATTGATGCGTGTCTATGTGTATTGATACTATAGATTTAGAGATTGTCAAAACATTGTGCTTAAAAGAATGCTTTTGTGATTCTCTTGATGGTTCATGCTTATCTCTTGATGGGTTGTGCCTCTCCCCTAGTTTATTTTCATGCTAGTAGTGTAGATGTAATGTAGTTGTAGTGTAGTGTTAAATGGGAGGACAATCTATGCTTCTTGTTTGATGATCCAAGCTTTTGAATGCAATTAGCATATGTCTCTATCCTTATGTTGTATTTGGATTGTGAGTTAAGTGAAATGATTAACGACTTGTTTTGATTTATTGTGCCTTTCACATGTTGTGTACACAATATATGCTTCATAGCTTAGATATATTGTGCCTTTCACATGATGTTTAGACAATACATACTTAACTAGTCATCCTTACTTGTTGAATCAACCAAATACACACACACCAATATTGCAACACCCTAATTGCCTTCATTAATCACTTGTCAATGATATAGAAATGCATTGCTTGGTGGTGATCTCTAAACCCCAAGATATCTCTCTCTCTCTCTTTCACTTACTCTTAATTGCAATTTTTTTGCTATTATTTAGTTTAATTTAGTTGCTCTTTAATCAACCAACTAACCAATTGTTTGATCACTTGACCTACTAGCTTAATTGTGATTCCACGACATTGCTCGATCTTCACAGTCCCTTGGGACGATCCCTACTCGCCCTAGCTATATTAATAGTGAAATGTAGTAGTGGCTTCTATAAATGTAAAACTCTTGGCCCTCGCCTTAATGCACACTCTTAAGCTTACGGTTCACGAACGACCAGGGCGGGTTTGGGCAGGTGTACCCCCCATAACCGTTTAAAAACCCCGCCCCCGTCCCTGTCCAAAACCATATAAATGGGGGAACCTTCCACCCCATCCCCGTAACCGTTTAACATTTTTACCTCCGCGGGTACCCTCTCCGCCCCGTTTAAGACCATAATTTATTTATTGTTGAAATAAATTTGCTTTTTTTTTTTTTTTTCCTCATCTTCTGTTCTTCACCATTGTAACTCTTTTTTTAATCAAATTCATTTGTTAATTTAATATTATTATATAAGGTACTTAATATATATATTGGGAAATATATATACGAATGAAATAAGGGTACTTAAATAATTTTTCTATCTAAACGGGACGGGGCGATGCAAGGCGACCTCTCCCCACCCCCGCATCAAATCCGCGTGGGTTTTATTACATCAAACCATCCACACCCAAATAAGCTAGACGGTTCTCCAAAATCGCAAAAAACGGGACGGGACGGGTAACCGCAGGGGTGGGTCAAATTGCCATCCCTAGGCGTATACAAGGGGTTGGAAATGAATAGTTTCATTTGCTGTTCACTCAAAAAAAGAATTGAAATCTAACAATTGTTAGATTCTGAGTCATACAAATTTATGTTTATATAGTTTTATATTTATATAATTTGATCTGTTAAATAATTCATTAAAAATTGACACCCAACTTAGAACACATTTTCCTGATTTCCACGTTGTAGAAGAATTCGAGTAGAGTTGATACCCTTTAACGTAATTATCTAGGGGTGAATTGTTAGGAAAATGAGGTTTTCAATTTTATGCGCATATCAAAGTACCTATTCCATGGTAGGAATGTACTCCTTATACGAAATTTTATAAAGGATTTTTGATAATTTCACACGTAGAGAACATTGTTAATATATATATTTTTCTTCCTTTTCTTTTATTTATTTATTTTTTTCTTAAACAAAATTGCACGCACATATATGTTTCTATGGAGACTTGAATATGACTTTTTACGTAACTTTGAGTTATTAGAGCACATTCTTCTTACTTAATAGTCTTACTTTTTTTTTAAATAGCTAGATTCAAACTTGAACTCGAGATTTTGAACTGCTCACAAGCATAAATTGAATCTAAATTGAGTTTTAAAATGAAGGGAAGTCAAATTGGAATAATTTTTATGTGAACTCCAATCTAATTGTCTGCTATAGAAATATCCTATATCACTAAGACAAATCTAAATTAACAAGAGACCACTTAATTATGATATCCAGAATCATAAAGATAAATTGAAGAAGAGCCCACTTAATTATTTCTACAGAAAAAAAAATAGAATAAATTACATTAACAACACACCTACCATTTTATTTCCAGCTGACTAAATTTATAAAATAATAATATTGTCTTTCTCCTATATATAATATAATATAATACTCCATATTATTATAATATAAAAGTATTACACTTTTATACTCAATGTCACTTTTTCATAGGTGACACAATTTGCCTAACTCACAAAAAAATGAGTATAATTTACCAAAAGTAAATAAATAAAATAACACACATAAAAATTCTTGCAAAACTGGATACAGTAAATTTTTATTTTTATTTTTGGAATCTTAGAGTAACGATCAAGGAAGTAGTAATAGGAATGTCAAGAATTCAAAAAGTGAATTGTTGTATGAGAGAAAAACGGCATTTGGTCCTACAAAGTGATTTGGTCGGAATGAAGTGCCACAGTTAGACGTCCCTTTCACAGACAAACTGACACAAGTCGGCGTTTGCCGGTGGGCTGCTATTAGCTTTTGCTTTCATAGGTTGTACTGTCGGCTCCGTCGGCGCGTATTTTACCGTGCCCACTAAAAACTCATGGGTGGGGTCCGAACAGTTGGCCGGACCCTTGTCCGTACTCGAGGTCGACTATGGGTATAACCGTCATTTCCTATGTCAACACGAAGCATGAACCTCATCCATAATGTAACGTTACCGATTTTTCCTATTTTCTATTTGTTGGAAATTATTTAATTTTTTTGGATTATTTTAATTCTTACCTCGTTTTGCGTGTCACGCAGGCCCCGAGGGGCTTTTTGGTCATTCATCTAGCCGAGGGTTTTGGAAATTTATTTTTAATCATTTTAAGTCAGTTAGAAGTGATGGTATTATTTTTAAATTTTTCA